ATTTTACATTATGTATCACTTCTATATTCTTAACCTTTTAATATCGCTTCATAAATGTTTATTTCTCTTAATTTTAAATGTAAGATGAGATCCTTTTTCAACAGATATTCAAATTATCTATTTCCATTGTAAATAATAAACTTGTTGCAAAGATAAATCATGATACTGTAGTTCCAAATATTAATCATTCAGATAAGCATAGAATCTCTAGAATATCTATAATCCGAAAATAAAGTTTTTTGAATAACAAAGAGTAACCGAAAAATTAATTCTCCACAAAATGAGACATCTCAGAACTCACCACAACATTTTTCCATTGAACTACATGAATTTTAAGAGAGGCCTAAAAATCCTTATTGTCCAATTGTCTCTTAGAAAATGGGGAAAAAAATCATTTTCGGTCATTTTTGATTATTGATGTAGTTCAGTCAAAAAATGTCGTCGAGAATTAGGAAATATCTCATTCGGTAGAGAATAATCACTGTGCCTAAGTAAAAAAAAAAACTGCTATTTTCAAGTCTGGAATTGAAAATAAAGGGCTTCGGTTTGGTAGAGACCTAAAATTTTGGAATATTGTCAAGATTTTTTCTGAAGTCATCTTTAGAAAGCTGTAGCTGTCATTCATTTTTCGCTGTCATATGCACATCCGCACATATATAAGATGAACATATCTTTTGTGATGGTCTCATTTAAAGCGAGTTCTTCTGAGAACATTACATTGAAACTGAGTTCTTCAACACAACTAAAAAACATATTTATGTAAAACGCAAATTAAAATCCCAGTGCTCTTTATTTCAACAGATCTCTGCATGACCTTGTTTAGGAAAGCACGATGTGCACTCAAATTCGATCAACTTCTATAGAGAGATATTTAAGAGAAACAATACTTAACAACGGTGCTGATGGCACGCTTACTGCTTGTGATCATTACTATTTTCAGTGTAAATGCATTATGAAGGAACATTATTCTCATCTCCTGGAACAATATCCTATTGTACAAATGTTGTCAGCGTATCTTTTCTCTCGCATCTGTCCTGCAAGTTGCGAAATCGTAACACTTCAAAAAGATTCTGTCGGCAGTCCCTTCATATGTCTATACATTATTCGAGGCCTGTCATATATATTATATATCGAACTAATTGAATATCATATAGATTTTGTTCTTGACCGATGATATTTTTAAGTAATAACATCATGACAGCAATGGCAACTTGACAGTTAATTTTCATTACTTAATTCATCTTTCGAAAACTCAATTGACTTTGGCAACATCTCAAAAATCAATGTGAGAACTATCGTCAAGCATGACGTCTCAACAGACAACTAGAATATTGTTCTCTACTTAATTATCAATGACTTGAAAAATACTTTTTGCAAGTTTTCAAAAATCAGATAAAGGAAAGAAGTTGACTTCCACACTTCATCAATATTGTCACGTTTTTACTAAGAATATGATTCATTGTGAATAATCATTCGTTCGTTATTTCGATTTGTCTATAGAAGTACCTAGTTATAATTTCGGCACACAAATTTTTATTCGGATCGAATCACGAAAATAGATAGAATAAAAGTAAGCAAGAACAACTGATGAAGCATATTTCGCGAAAAAGTTGATCAAAATGGTTGAAGATGATGTTTGACAAGCAATACACGTGTGCCGTATTTCCTAAAATGATAGCAAATAATATTAGAATATTTACGTCAAAAAATAGGCAAAATCAGAAAAATCAAAGGGAAGTGTGAACAACTTCTGAATATTGGGAAAATGATACTTTTTTCTNTAAATATAAAGTTCTCCTTATGTCACACCGTTTTCATTTAAACATCCTGTCTAATGCAGTTTTTAATGGTCTTCCTAACAGTGTATTATCCATTAGATTTGCCCGAACATTAGTAGAAAAAATTGTCTGTCCACGGGCTTTTACTCATCAAGTCATAGCTGGCTCCTCAAAAGACTATTTTTTCGACTTTTTCTGTATATGAACGCAATAAAAACTAGCTCATCGTGTAGAAAACATTTTGCTCTTTCGAATGGTGTAACATAAGGAGAACTTTATATTTAAATTAGCACAAAGAAAGAAGAAAAACACATGTGGTCGGACAATATTTTGATGCATGAAATATAAGACAAATTTTGTTTTCATTTTCATAAAAATCAACAACGCGAAATTCTGATCTGAAACTAACCACAAATATACTAGGCACTGTGGTCTACAACACGGTAAAAGTCACAGATCCATAGTCACGTTTTTTTTGTCAAATATAAAATAAACAAAAAACATTTTTTAGGTGGTCGGACAATTTTTCTGACAGCCACTGCATATCATCAAAGTTCATATTCAATAATCAACGATGAAAAAAAGTGTTGATAATTTCGACCCAAAACTCTCAACCTATGTATATGTACAGTGAAAGTAAAACAGAAAAAAAAAGATTTTTTAATAACATTAATATTCTAATCAATTTTTTTTATTGATGTGGAAAAAAGAAAACAAATGCATTTCTACAAAATAAGTTAACCATGAAAATAATATCAATAGAACACATTTATTTCTTTGTCACTGAATATAAATCTTTGTATAGGAATTGAAGATTTTATATCCACATAAACTAAAGAAATTTTTTTCTAAATTATTTTTTAAACGAAATATGTTTTTTTGCCATAAGAAATTCATGGTTACTGGGATGAAGAAAGAAATGAAACACATTTATTCTGTAGAATATGTAAACAAACAGTAAACTATTTTGTGAACAAAATCTTAGTTAAATAATTTTATTTGAAATTTATTTTTTTGTTAGTTTTGCTTTCTAAAAAAAATAGAATTTTTGTTTGAATAAATAAACGCTGTTTATTTTGATACCTATAAAAGAAATGCTTTGTTATTTAAAGTACATATGAACCTTGATGATAACGTATTATATTTCAATAGTGAATGATGCATCTCAATACTGAATTCTAGTGGGTTCGAACACGAGAGCGAATCAGTTATTCACACACTTATCCTTAGAATAAGTGATAAAGCGATATACTCTTCCATGCTGTTTTGAATCTGATAGAAAAAGTCTTGACCAATATCTAGTAGCACTCACTGATGTTTCACAGAACTGGCCATTCGAACTTAGAATAATTCAAATTAAGATGAGAAAATCTTATCCATAGTCATTGATTTACCGATGACATGAAATGCGTTGAAAGTGAAATTCAATATCACATCTCAGTATTGGTAAATGTTTGAATCACAATGTAGAAGTTTAATTATTTATAATCATATGCATCGTATTGCGCAATGCATGACAATAACTCCAGCGATCGATTCCATAGATTTCTGGACAGAAAACATCACATAATGGTAAGAACTTGAAAGCAAAAATACGATGATCATATCATCTATTCAATAGTTTCTTATAAAAATAATCTTGTGCAGAAGTTTTATATATTCGTTCATCAATTTAAAAAAATCATATTCTTTCATTATAATAGATTTCATTACCAGGTAGATCAATTAATCTATATTTTCTCTTGAAAAATATTCGAAAAAAAAATTTTTTCTTTCAGAAAAAGAAAATATTTATCTTAGTCGATGTTGTTTTAATGCAGGAAACATCTTTACAATATGTAAGACTAAATTCATAGATATAAACAACCGGACATGTTGTCGATTATTGAAAGTGACAATTCAAATAATTAAACCAGAATCACCTAAAGAGATTTTATTCAGACAAAAAATTAACCTAACTGCTTCAAAAGAATTAGAAAACTTCATTTTCAGATAAATACAATTGAAGTATCACCGATGGAAACAATATCGATCGAGGTCTTTGATCAAACTTTCGCCAAAGTTTTTTCTGACTCTTATCATTACATAATGTTATCTATATTTTATATCTTCATGATATCATTGTAGAGTAAATACTCATTACTGAACTTGTTAACTTTAATTCTATTTTCGACGAATACAATGAATAATTTTCAATATGTTACTGAAGATATTCCAATATGATTGTACTGAAAGCAGAACTACATCAAATGAACAATCAGTTTTGAAGAGAAAACTAATTTCTAATAACTTTCAAATAAAGACAAATGTATTCAAAAACCTTCAACTGGAAAATCTTTCTTCTCGAAATTATAATTAATTAAAAATCATTCATAATGAACTTTACATGTGAATATGGCGAAAAATCCCATCGTTTTATAAAATATTTTCCTAAATGTATTAAACTAATATATTTTTTTTTATTTGAATGATTGAGTGAAAACTACTATAATGACTACTTCGATTTGGCCATGTTTTAATTGGCTGTATCGTTGTTATTGTTGTTCTATTAATGATGAAAATATTGTTGTTGGCATTAAATTACTATTTAATGATTTGATATCATTAGAAAGAAACACTCTTGTTATAGTTGCTGCAACTGTTCGGGGGTCTTACTATTTGATAAAAATGATGATAAGGAAAATAATTATTTTTCATTCATCCAATCAATTATAATTAACATAATGAATAGAAAATAAACGTAGACCGTCCTGTTCACGCATGCTAACTAATTCACTCAATACTTTAAAGAAAAAGACTTTTTTTTTTGCATACTAAAAGCTTTTGATCATCTATAAAAACATGTACACGACAATCTTCTACCATTTTGCGCTATGAAAAGGGTAAGTTTACAAGACCTTATACACGACTATCATATTCAAAGGATTGAGTTGGTTTAAGCGGCATTTCCGTTAATGTGGTTTGAAGTACTTCAATGATCATTAGCATTTTTTAAACCATATACAGTTATATTCATCGACATTAGTTCTAAATTTTAGAAAATACTATTTATCGCTGCAGATTTATTTCAAAAGTTAACATTATAAATTAATTAATATGGGAAGATTTCAATGTATTTATTATGAAGTCTAAGTTACGTTTTCTTATTGGTTCTTATATTCTCCAACTATTAAATATTGATTGAAATTGAAATATAACATTTTAAAATTGACAGAATGTAAAATGTCTGTTGCATCAACATTTCGTCTTTCTATGGAACGAAACAGCAGGTATTTATTTAAATCAACATACAATATTTTAAAGAATTTACTAGACTTTATACTTTGTATTAATTGCATTTTTAATAATAAATCTCAGCATAAAATTTAACAAATTGTTAGGGATTTTACAGAAATGATTTATTTTATAATAAAACTTTAATCAATTTTAAGACGTTTTTTCAAAGTTTTATTTTATCTTGATCTATAATTGAAGTATATACCAATTAATTTTTTGCTTCCATGGTTACGAAATGCATATGAAATCGATAAATTCTGTTCTTTCTTTACCATAAGCAAATAATGTGAATATAATCTTTAAATTTCACACGATAGTTAATTTTAGATCAGTCCAAAATTTAAACTAATATTTTTATATCTTATATAACAAAAAGCTGCTTATTTTCATGTGCACATCAAATACATTTTTACAGCTTTTATTGACATTCTATGTTGTTTTAACACTCATCTATTTATTTTACGTCTTTCTTAATCAAAAGTATTTGATTCTTTTCTCTATGTCGAGATTTCTTTTTCTTTTGCTTATTTTTCTAAATGTGTTGGTCTGTAAAACATTTATTGTTGGTAAAACAACTTAAAGACATACTCGTACCTACATATACAACACCTTTTTTTCCGCCATTCATTTGTCTAAATTATCTATAAGCAATGAATAAACGAACAACATTACCCATGTAGGAATGTTTGTCTGTTTTACTAACTAATAAAAAAAAAACAAGATAATCTCTATTTCTTAAGATTATCTAGTAATGGACGATCTATTTCAACAACTCCATCAGGTCGACCTAGATCAAATATCAGGTTAATTTAATCATATGTTAAGAATTTATAATAAAATTTTATTTATTGTTTAGTTCATCAGCTTCTATTCGTCGAATAAATCTTAGTAGTTCTTGTTCAAATCATATTTTTCAATGTCATCTTCCATTGAAAAAACTCAAACCTGAACCATGGCAACGATTTTTTGATGTATATATATATATATGAATTAAGTAAAAAGAAAATAAAGTATTCTAATTTTTTTTTGTCTTACAGGGTGAAAAACGACAAGTATATAGTCAACAAGGATTGACTGTGAAAAAAAATAAACAAAATATTGATGCACTTATTAATGAAGAATTTTTTAACTTAACAGATGAAAATACAAAGTTGGATGAAAATTCTCAGTGAAAAAATTCTTCTTTTACTTTTAATTTAAATTAAATCATTTTTGATTCCTATGTAGACGTGGTGCTCTTCCACCACCAATTCAAGCATATATTGATAATTTATGTGAACAAATCGATGATTTAGCATTACAATTAGCTGAAGAACGACTTAATCATAAACAAACACGAGTTAAAGTATTTTTTTTTTTTTTTTGTTTTTCCTATTAAAAGTATAATACTGATCTAGGCTGAAGAAATTCTTACTAATCAATTACAAAATCAAAATAAACAATTTCAAGAATTACTTCATCGTAAAATGCTTGATCATGAGAAAGATCTTGAAGAGTTAAATGAAAAACATTCAAAATCATTACAAGAAGAACGAAATCAAAGTGATAAACGTGAACAAGATTTAAAAAATGAACTTGATTTTATAAAAAGTTCATTTCATTCATATAAAGTAAATCTATTCATTGCTTATTTGTTTTTATTTTATTTATTTATTTTTTTTTTTGAAGATCAATCTTGATAAAGATAGTACTGAAAAAGTTCAAATTAAAATAGATGAAGCATTAGAAGACATAAAAAAAGAATTTCGACAAAAAGAAGAAGAAATGAATCAAAAAATAAATGAAGCTGTTATTAAAGAACGAAAAAATCTTAACGCAAGACAAAAAATGGAAATTGAAAATTTACGAAAACAACATCAAAAAGAAATTGATGTATTTCATTATTTTATTCAAAAATGTTCATAAATATTTATTTATATTTTTTAGACAATTCATAAAACATTTGCTGATTCAGCTTTTGATCGAACACGTGTTGAAACATTAACTAAAGAATTAACATCAACTAAACTTGAACTTGATGATACGAAAGAACGTGCAACTAATTTAGCTTTACAATTAAAAGATCTGGAAATTCAACATGCTGAAACGGTATAAATAGTTTTTATATGAGAAAAAATACAGACCTGCAGAGTCAAACCTTTGTAAACTCCGACTATGAAATTTTTCTTTCAGTAAATTAGCGACAGATTTTAAATTATTCTACACCATCATGAATCATATCTGGTTCGAGAGTATTGTGAATCCAAGACACTTGAAATGACTGCTACGGTCTTCTCAGTCAGACGAAGAGATTCTAAGTTTAATAAGAAAATATAACAATTGTGTTAAATTAGCACCATGAGGAAAAAAAATGAATAGACTCCGATAGTGTTTGAAGTTTTATGTAGATTTCTAGAGAGTTTTTATCTAGACTCGACAATTAAATGATTTTCGTACACGTTTTGATGAAAAAACAAAAGAAATTGAAAAACTTTATGCTGGTCGACTTGATCAATTACAATTACAAAATGCCGATCTGCGGTATAATCTATTTAATAAGTGATTATATCGAACGATTGTTTTTTTTAATGTTTTAGAAATATGTATATGAAAAAATGTGCTGAACTAGTTGATGAACGAGCATTAACAAAACAGAAAATTGATGAACAAGTTAACTTTACACGAAAACAACTTCAACGAGTATTATTTTACTTTAATATACAATTATCTTTTTTTATCATAAGAAATTGTTTTTTTTCTAAAGAAACTACTCAATATTCGTATAACGTCCGCTGTTCCATTAAGTACTGATAATCAAACACGTCGTTTAAGTACATGTGCTACAGCATCTCAATATGAATTATCTCCAACACGTTGTCGTTCAGCATTTGCTACTTCTCGTCCTGTTTCAGCTACTAATAATATATCAGAAATTGATAATAATAATACAACAGATTTTACACTTCATAATATACGTCGTGAAACAAAATTACGTCGTCGTGCTAGTCTACCAATAACTGAAGAAGAACAAGATATTGTTCGATATTTAACATCAACATCAGTCATACGAAGACCTGATTCATTATTATCGAAATACAATTTTGAATATGAACCAACAATGATTAAAAATCTCAGTTTACAAGATCTTCAAGAAACATTTAAGTCACAGTAATTTTCTACATAGAAGTTGTATTTTTATCGAAAGAAATTATCTCAATTTCGCATTATTTTTATTTAATTTTTTCTTTTTGTATTTGAGTGCTACATTTATTTATACTATTTTTAATATACGATAACTGAAAACTTTTGATAATATTGTTCAAACGACATTACTTTGATCTTCTGTATTCATATCCTTTTATTCCATTAAGGCCCCCCCCCCCCTCAGAAACCAATTTTGTTATTTTTCATCCGATTTCAACCAAAATTTCAGAGAATGCTAGTCTTGGCTAGAATAGATTATGGTTAAAATATCTCCCGAAATCTGCGAGCCATTCACGAGTTATAGTCAATTCATTGGTCAAAAATACCCTTTACGCGGGCAAGGTTTTCAACATGAGGATACTAGCTAAGCATGTCGGCGTGGTTTTTAAATTGTAGAGTGCCCNTCACAGGATAGGGTCGCATACAGTGTGGTCCATGCTAACTTAGCACGCCTGTATTTTCTCCTTGCAATTTAGTGATAAAAAACACAGTGAATATACCTTTTCACTTTTTAAAGTACACATAACACTCGGATTTAAATCCGAGGTTTTCGCATTTATTTTATAATAAGAATTGTTTTTATTTTCTCTAAAGAAATTACTTGATATACGTATAACATCTGCTGTTCCATTAAATATTGATAATCAAAAACATCGTTTAAGTACATGTGCTACAGCTTCTCAATATGAAGTATCTCCAGCACGTTGTCGTTCAGCATTTGCTACTTCTCATCCTATTTCAACTACGAATGATAAATTAGTCATTGATAGTAATACTACAACTGATTTCACACTTCATAATATACGTCGTGAAACAAAATTACGTCGTCGTACTAGTGTACCAACTACTGAAGAAGAACAAGATATTGCTCGATATTTAACATCAACATCAGTCATTAAAAGGCCTGATTCATTATCATCAAAATATAATTTTGAAAATGAACCAACAATGATTAAAAATCTTAGTTTAGATGATCTTCAAGAAACATTTAAATCACAATAGATTTTGTATTTTTATAGAAAGAAATAATCTCAATTGCGCATTATTTTAACACAATGATCTGTTTTTTTTTTGTATTCGAGTTTTACATTTATTTTTACTATTTCTAATATATGATAAATGAAAATTTTGATGAGATTGTTTGAACAATATGATTAAAACAATTTATGACTTATGTTCTAGTTAAAGTTAACTGTTATTTTATTTTGTATTAATTGTATTCTACGAAAATTTTATCATTCTTGGTCTATTCTGTAATTAGTCTTTTCTTCTATTCATGTATCTGACGAACGTAGTTTTCTGGAGAGAAACACGTATGATTGATTCAAAATATGCTATCTATTGTGGTTTGTGTTTATGGTTCAAAGTTACAAGTTTTTTATTTACATACAACATTAATTCCATAGAATGATTGATGCTTCTAAAATCATATTTATTCATTAGTTTGTATTAGCCTTCAATATTCTCACTTTTTCATGTAAACAGCATTTTCAAAAAATTGTATCATTTCTATTCTATTCTATATCGATACCTGAGTATCTATCTCTTTTCAACTGAAATCTCACATTGAGCGTGTTTTATTTGAAAGCTGATTATAGTCGTTATAATTGAAAATATTCTGTATTGTTATTTTTCTTGAGTTTAAAGTTTGTGTTCATGATATAAATGAATGGCTAAATAATTCAACATTTCTGTATACTATAAAATAGACTTCTGTAAAGAATTTACCAGCATCGACAAACATCCCACATTGTTAACATGGCTGTGATTGTTCTCTCATCAACATGTTTATTCTCTATCACATTAACACTATGATACTTTCTCATAAGCCGTACCGTAATTAGTTATAAGATAAATAGAACATCAATCAATTTTTCAAATTAGTCTCACATTCGATTGTGTGAACATTCCTTTCTTTTTTCTCAAGTGCAATAGCACCGAGGATATTAACTTCGTGACAAAAGAGTGAGAGAATTTAATAATCACAACATTCTTCCATTTTCACATAAACTAATAATTTGATTTACAGCTTGTTCACGACTAACTTTGACCCATGTCAAATGAAAAAGCGAAGTATTCTTACAATCATTAGAGTCAGATAAGATAGTTGATGTTGATTACGACAAAATACACACATATGTTGAGAAATATTTTTGAAATAGGAAAAGTCAAATTAAGTATGTTTTGTTCTTATTTTCGAAACTTAACCACGTCCTCCTCCTTTTCCTCTTGCACTGTAGGAACGGCTTAATGAAGGCATTTTTATATCATGAAATAGTGGAATTTTTAGTACATTCATCACATCATTGTCTGAATTCGGTTTTATGAGAGTGTTGTCAGAGATTTGTTGTATAAAATCATCATCAGATGGCGACAGTTCTCCAAACGAAGGCAGTGGTAGAATATTTTCATTTATAAGAGAACCTTTTTGTTGAGAGATATCACTGTCTTGGATATTTTTCTGGTTCAGTATGCGGTGTAGCCTCCTGTAGTAAGTATTGTTATTTTCATGTTTTGATAGAGTATAGAATGGAGTAATAATATGACAACCATTTCTCTTAATGCTTAATTTTTGAACTCGATGGTTGTCGAAGTCAAGTAGTATTAAATTACCATCAGAATCAAGTTGAATTTTTCTCGGCTTGTACATTTGGTTTTGTTGATATCTAGACAGATCACTTGTGAATTTAATAGTTCTCGTATTACTGAAGTTGGTCGTTTGTATTTGCAGTATCCGATGGTGTTCCCAATCTGCGACGAAAATATATGTGTTTCCTGATAGTTGATCATCAATGATAGTAAAGCCAGACGGATCTTTGATGAAATTTTGTCCGATCTGTCGAATCAATGAACCATTTGCTGCAAACTGTTTGATGATGTTTTCTTTGCAGCATGTTGCGTAAATGTCACCTGTCAATTCATGTACATAAATATCTGTCGGTGCACATGATTTGATAATGATCTGCCCCACTTGTGCACTCTGTGACCATTTCATAACACGATGATTTGCAAGATCCGATAGGTAAACATTATATTGCTCATCAACATAAAGGTCCAAACAATCAACAGACTGATTTACGTGATTACCACGACTAAAGTGTCTGATAATCGTCTTCCCATATGTACTATTCTTAGTCCATTTTTGAATGCGATCATTATAGTAGTCTGCCACGTATATGTTCTCTTGCTTGTCTACAAAAACTGCCGTTGGAAAATTCAACTGGTTTGCTTTGTTTCCTTTATCATTGCCACCGGCCACTACGTGACCAACACTAGCACCGTTATCCCATTTAATAATGCGATGATTCAGAGAGTCGGCAATATAAATAGCATTTTGCTTGTCGATAAATATATCATGCGGATATGCAAGTTGATCCAGTGCAGAGCCATTTCCATTTCCACCGGCAACTGTTACCGTCTGATCAAACCAGGCACATGTTGAATATAGTTTTGTCTGTTGCTCTAGATTATCATAGACTATGCATAAAATTTTAAAGCTTTCTGTACTGAATAATACTATAACTTAACTTAAAAATCAAACGACAGATATTAATACATACTGAATAAAGTACGGTTTCATCTTGATAATTACACATAAGTGTATCTGGAGTATTCTTGACATTCTTAGGAGTATATTATCATATGGAAAACATGATAAGAAATAAAAAAATTATAAACTAATAATGTCTCTGAGCCCTAGAGCTAATGTTGACATTTTTGTTTAAACTTGTTTGTTTATGAGATTTAATGTGACCATCGATTTTTTTGATCTTCTGAAAATCTTCTACTTTTCGACTCTCAAATATTTCTAACGTGGCCCTTTGTAGCTATATTTATAGATTAAAAAGAAAATTTTTAAAAATATTTTGAATGAATTCTAAATGTACAATTTCACAAATAATCTAATTTCTCTCGTTGAGAACTAAATTTTTCTTTCCTCAAATTGAAATGTCTGTAATTCAGAAACAGTATTTAATTCCTATGTGTTTTTTTGATTGACAATATTAAGGGAGTACAAAACAGTAACTAGTCGATAAACACTTTTGTCTATTTTTTTTAAATACATTTTAAATAGTATGGACTTGCTCTTAATGCAATATGCTGTACTAGTTTTGTTTTGGTTTATCAATATTAATCTATCAAAGTCAAATTTGATTTTTTCTAAGATTAGCTACAATTTTTGTGTTAATAACTGAAGTATACTTGAGATAATCTCAAGAATATTGTTATATTGAAATTCAACGATAGATCAATTGTAAATTCAATTTTCTCATTTAGATTGTTAGATTTTTTGTAGAATTTTTAATGTTGTCAATTTTACATTGACATTAGGTCTCAAACTTTTATAACTTCATTAGTTGTGTATATTTTTCTATTCATAATTTAAAAACATTATTTTTGAAGAACATGAACTTCAGCTTCTATGGAATTACCAATGTCAGATTTGACATGTTCTTTTTTTTCATTGTGATCTACTTCCAAGTGCTAAACTATGAAAAAAAGTTTAATATTATCTGTTTATGGGAGTTGCTCGAAAATGTGATCACAATAGCTAAAAAGTGTTTGCATGCTGTCGTTTTTTTTAAGCAAGAAGATATGTTTACCTCTGCTCTTTTTGAATTCAAATAGAGTAGAAGCATGTACTTGTACAAGAGGTAGTTTGGGAGAAGCCAATTTTTTTCTTGGGCTACAAGATAGAAGATAATTTGTGGGGTACTCTGAAATGAAGCTTACAACAATTTTTATATACTTGTAGATTGTACGACAACTATTGGAATTAACGCTTCTAGTGTGTGTTTCAATTCTACAGCTAGATGGGGAATAATACAGTCGCAAACATAGTTCGAATATTACGTGTTTTTTTTTCATATTTTAAAGAGTGGTTACAGAATCTCATAGTATAAACTTTCTTGAGAACTTGTCATTGATTGTAACTAATATAATTAGTTGACATGTGCTGTAAGAACCTAGCAAGTTTAATGCCTGCTTCCTAACTTCAGAAGCATCTATGGCTCGACTAGATAAAAATTGTCACAATACTTACTTATCTTGCTCCTAATAATGAATTGGTTGGAGTATTTCGACGTAGCATCTTTTTGATGTGTTTTTTCAATACTATTTTCACTTGGTTGATGGGAAAACATAGCGATAATCGTAAGAATAATTACAATAGTTGTCAGAATCACCATTGCCAAACAAATCAGCTGCGTCTTCCATCGTGACTCTTTTCTTACTCTCACTGTCGTTCCATCAGTATCGACGATTGTTCTCATTTTTATCTATATATATATTAATGAACAAATATAGCCAAGGTAGTATAG